GGCCGCCATCTACCCTGTTGAAGTTGGCTGCCGAGGCTTCGTGGGGCTGTCAATGATACGGCTCTTGAGGGATGCAGGAGTCACGGGGGGAAAGCTGCGCAGGGCCACAAGAGAGCTTTCGGAGGAGGCGGAAAAGGGCAGCTTCTGGCTCTGGTTGAGGAGGAAGGATAGGAGTTGGGGAAAGTATAGCTAACCTCAATGACAGCTGCGGGGGATAACATTCTCCAGCTGCAGGGAGTGACAAGGAGACGTCCTTGTCACTGCTCCGCCACCATGAGACGTTCCAGGATTAAAGGGGCGAAAACGTTGGTGATTGGTGGTTCCTGGCTGATGACCCTGCAGCTGACCCTGCAGCTGACCCATGGGCACCGGAGGAGGTGCGACAGGCAGCAATGCTAAGCAGGAAATTACATCCACCTGTATACATCAACTGATGATCTGGCAACCCAGTGACTACTGTGAACAGGGCAGTTGGAGTCCAGGGAAGACTGGAGGACAGCCAGGAAAGTCTGGTTGACAGCAGGGAAAGACCGCACTGGGAGTGGGCGGCTAGTTACCCAACCCACTAGTCTCTTGGAAAAGAGACACCCATGCCTAACTACGAAGAATCTTAAGAGAAAACAACCCGCAGGCCCTCCGAGAGGCGGGATGAAAGATGGGCCTAACAGGACGGACCACACGGCAACGACAACTGCAATGGAAAAGGACAACGAAAGCACCAGAAACTCAGACAGAGAGGAGAAGGTCCTCCGAAAGTGTACTTGTGGATGGGAGAAGGTAACGACGTTCAGGGGGTTGCGAATCCATCAGGGAAAGGCGAAGTGTGGCGGGAGAGGCCAACAGCAACCTTGCACTGCAGCAGCGGGTAAGACAAGAGGGACCACGAGCCGGGTCGAAAACCACAGTGCCAACGGACCTAATGCAGCTGAAGGCATAGGAGAAACAGAGAAAGAAGTCCCTTCCATGGACCCGGAGCCCCCTAGCGAACACCAAGACCCCACTCAAGCCATCCCACAAGGAAAAGAGCCACCAGCAGAGACCAGGGGACCAGCGAGAAGGAACACACTTAAATGGCCGAAGTCTAACCAAGCAGAGGCATGGCAAACACTGGACGCAGACCTGATCAAGATCCTAGAGGGTAAATTGCGTGGAGGCGTCGAAGTCAAGCTCAATCAGTTTGGAGATGCCATATACCAGAGCTGTAAGGACAGATTTGGTGACATTATCCCCAAACGACGGTCTGCCCCAAGAGTGAAGGGGAGGAGGGAAAAAGAGATCACAGAGCTTGTTCAGAGACGACGACAGCTCCGCAAGAACTGGAGGAAGGCAGATTATCAAGAGAGAGAAGGCCTGAAAGTCCTTTGGGAAGAAGTGAGGCAAAGGCTAGCAAGACTCCGCCGAGCTGAACGCATCCGCAGGCGCAGTAAGCGGAAGCAAAAGGAGCGATCCAGCTTCTTCAAGGATCCCTTCAAGCATGCAAGACGGCTGCTAGAGGAGAAGAAGTCCGGAAAGCTCGAAGCCACTAGGGAGCAAATAGAACAGCATGCTAAAAGGCAGTACAGTGACCCGCTGAGAAACGTCCCTCTAGGAACACCAGGGTATGTGCCACGGCCTGGGCTGCCAACAGTCATGTTCAACACAATGCCCCCCAAGCTCAGCGAAGTCAGGCAAGTGGTGAGCAAGGCAAGGTCATCATCAGCACCAGGCCCCAATGGAGTTCCCTACAAGCTCTATAAAAACTGCCCTAAGGTACTAGAGCTACTGTGGTACCTAATGAGAACAGCTTGGAAAAAGCAAATCATTCCATCAGAGTGGCAAAGAGCTGTAGCAGTCTTCATTCCTAAAGAGGAAAACTCCAGAGACATTGGCCAATTCAGAAACATCGCCCTGCTGAATGTTGAAGGGAAAATCTTCTTCTCTGTACTGGCCGGAAGGATGACCGAATTTCTGCTAAAGAATGGCTATATTGATACCAACTGTCAGAAAGCAGGAGTTCCAGGGTTCCCAGGGTGCATTGAGCACTCGTCAATGATCTGGAACCAAATCCAGAGAGCCAAGAGGGAGAAGACCGACCTGCACATCGTCTGGCTCGACCTCGCCAACGCGTATGGATCAGTCCCACATCAGCTGATCAGCTACGCTCTGGATTTCTTCCATATGCCCCTCTGCATCAGGAACTTGGTAGCACTGTACTTCAGTGACCTGCAGATGTGTCTCGCCCTCCAGGACTTCACTACTGGGTGGCAACAACTGCAGGTGGGAATTGCTATGGGATGTGCCATTTCACCAATTCTGTTTGTCGCAGCCTTTGAGATCATTCTCATAGGGGCAAGGCAGATGGTGGGAGGGATCAAACTTTCATCTGGCCAGAGGCTTCCCCCACTGAGAAGCTACATGGACGATGTCACTAGTCTCCTCCAAACAGCAGCATGTACATCTAGGCTGCTAAAAAGGTTTGACGAGTTGATGTCATGGGCCAGGATGAAGGTCAAGCCCGCCAAATCCCGTAGTTTGTCACTCAGAAGGGGAGTCATAAACAACAGCACCACCTTTGTCGCCGGGGGAGAGAGAATCCCTCTTCTGTCTGAACAACCTATCAGAAGTTTGGGGAGGGAGTATTCTGCAGAGCTCTCTGATAAACAGATGGGGAGGACCGTCATGAAACAGCTTTCAGACGGCCTGGCAAGGATCGACCAAAGCGAGCTCCCTGGGAAATACAAGGTTTGGTGCTACCAATTCACACTCTATAGGAGACTGATGTGGCCCCTGAAGATGAGTGAGATCCCCTCATCCACCGTGAGGAAGATGGATGGAAAAGCCAACGCCTCCATCAGAAAGTGGTTGGGGCTACCACGGTGCCTCTCTGACTCTGGCCTCTTTGGGAGGAACGCGCTGCAACTGCCACTGCAGTCCCTAAGTGTGGGCTACATGCAAGAGAAGGCCAGGCTGGTTCTCGAGCTGAGTCAGTCCACCGACGAGTCTGTAAGGAATGCAAAAGCCAAGGTTCCCACTGGCCGAAAGTGGAACGCAGAAGCAGAAGTGGGCCATGCGGTTAGCAGGTTGCAGCATCGAGAGATCGTGGGCAGAGTCCAGGCAGGAAGAGCAGGTCTAGGGTGGGGAGAGGCACCACGGTTCTGGTCAAAGGCCACTCGCAAGGAGAAGAAGGAGAATGGTGGTGGCAGAAGTGACGAGGATGGAGGAAGAGCGCTATAAGATCAAGGCCGTCTCACAGGGCCGGCAAGGAAGATGGACAACTTGGGAGGGAGTTGTCGACCGCAATATCAGTTGGTCTGACCTGTGGAAGATCCCGCAGGCGAGGCTCAGCTTCCTTATCCGTTCAACCTATGACACGCTTCCCTGTCCTCGTAACCTGCACCAATGGTTTGGCAATGAGGAATGCTGCTCACTCTGTAACGCTCCCAACGCAAGCCTTCAACACATCTTGTCAGGCTGCAAGATTGCGCTCTCCCAGGGACGCTACAGGTGGCGCCATGACCAGGTCCCCAGGAAGCTCGCCGAGGTCCTGGAAAGGTGCAGACAGGGTAACAAACAGCTACCACCAGCAAAGAGCCACACCAACTTTGTCAGGGAAGGGGATGGGCAAAGTTACACCAGGCCAAAAGAGACATCGCGGCCCTTTGCCCCCAACCAGGAGTGGGACATGAGGGTTGACCTTAACAAACAGCTCCAATTCCCCACGGAGATCACCATCACATCTCTCCGCCCTGACATTGTGGTTTGGTCTTCAGAGGCAAAAGTGGTGCATCTCATTGAACTCACAGTTCCATCAGAAGGGGAGATCGAGGCTGCCTACGAGCGCAAGAAGGCCAAGTATTCCGAGCTGGCTGCAGAGTGCCGGGAGGCTGGATGGAAGGCCGCCATCTACCCTGTTGAAGTTGGCTGCCGAGGCTTCGTGGGGCTGTCAATGATACGGCTCTTGAGGGATGCAGGAGTCACGGGGGGACAGCTGCGCAGGGCCACAAGAGAGCTTTCGGAGGAGGCGGAAAAGGGCAGCTTCTGGCTCTGGTTGAGGAGGAAGGATAGGAGTTGGGGAAAGTATAGCTAACCTCAATGACAGCTGCGGGGGATAACATTCTCCAGCTGCAGGGAGTGACAAGGAGACGTCCTTGTCACTGCTCCGCCACCATGAGACGTTCCAGGATTAAAGGGGCGAAACGTTGGTGATTGGTGGTTCCTGGCTGATGACCCTGCAGCTGACCCATGGGCACCGGAGGAGGTGCGACAGGCAGCAATGCTAAGCAGGAAATTACATCCACCTGTATACATCAGCTACAGTAGCTGCTACAGTAGCTGTTAGCTACAGTAGCTGCTACAGTAGCTGTTAGCTACAGCATCAGAATGTAAACAGGAAGTCACTGAAGTTAGTATTAGCGCCACCAGCTGGACCGAGCGTTGTACTACAGCACAGTTACTCAGGCACAGTTGAAAGAACAAGCATGAAAACCCGAGGAGGCTTTTGGAAAAGACTGTCTGTTACAACATTTCTATTTTGAGTAATCAGTTTTAAAAATGTGATATTTCATGTAAATAATGCATGTGTTTAATAGGATTGATATATTTGCGATGGGCCTTGTTTGTGTGATTTAAGTTATTTTGAAGGTGCATAGTGTCATTGTAAGTGAAGTTATTATAAAACTGTTAAGCTACATTTTCACTGTTTACAATGGCAGAGCCATCCCGTTTACAAGCATGTTTTAAGGCTTAATTCCTGTTACACTTATGCTCCATGGGGATTTAGATTAAACTGCATAAAGGAAAATCTATTTCTTTGTCAGTTGTAGTTTGTTTTTAAATAGAAAAAATAAATCGATTAAAATCGAAAATCGGATTTGGTGTGAAAAAATCGGAGATTTTTTTTTTTTGCCATATCGCCCAGCCCTAGGCTGCAGTACCACTTTTGGCCACATTTCGACATACTGCTCCGTTAATTGATTCTTTCTGTTCACATCTTTCCTAACGTGCTCTGTTCTTGACCCTAGGAAACCCCTGTTTGTCCAACCCGTGCCTGAACAGTGGGATGTGTGTGAGTTTTGAAGGGCATCACTTTACCTGTCGTTGTCAACAAGCCTGGACCGGGCCAACCTGCGGCGAAGGTCAGATCACATTTTATATTAGTGATGTACAGTAGTACACACGCTTTAGCACCCAAACTTTCTATTCACATCCCTCTTATTCACTGTTGTAACACATAAACCACACGTACAATTGTATAGCTTGTATTGTACTGTATACTGGTGTGGATTCTCGTTGTCTCGAGAGCTTTCTAAAAGTTGTTGGTGTTTAGTAATTAGAAAGCTGTATACTATAACAATATCATGTTTTGTGATATTTTGGCGATAATTTGATCGTTGAAGTTACCCCATGCTTATTGTCCATCTAACCCCAGGAGCCTCTTGCCAAAGTGGTTGGAAAATACTGCATTAGCCTGATCTATTTTCATCATAGTTTTGACGTAACATTTTAAAATAAAATCCATTTTGTACGACTGTTTAAACTGGTCCCAACATAATTTACTGACTGGTGTTTAAGAGCATAACCGTTAGTTTCCAGCTCGGTATTCATCCACCAGTCTATTTGGACAAACAAGTGTCCTAGCTACTAAAACTACATATAGATGGAATAAAAAAAATGAGTCCATAAACGCCGCTCTGACAACAGCCTAACTCTATCACAATAAAAACACACACATAGGCCACATCACTATATAGACAGATAGATACTTTATTGATCCCTGTATAGAAAGTCTGGTGTCCAGTAGCATCAAAAATAAAGAATAACAATAGTAATATTCAGTAACAGTCCTTCAGGTCACAGCAACAGAGGTGGAGGAGCCGCTTGGTTTGGGCCATTTTCTCTGCTCTGGTCCAAAGTAAAATGCTTAATGCTTCATTAGCATTTTCCCAAAAAGTTTTCTTGGTTAGGACCATGAATCCTCTCTGCTTTGGTCTGGACCAGTGTAAAACCATGAATCCTCTCTGCTCTGGTCTGGACCAGTGTAAAACCATGAACACTGTACTGCAGCAACATCTCAAGCAGAAAAAAGAAAGACAAATAAAAATTGTAAAGCACAAAATAACAACTGTTTCAGAGACACTTCGGACTTGCAGCCGTTTCCAGCACATTTAAAAGCGCAGGGATCAGAGAACTTGAAAAAGTTGTGGTTTATAGTGTGACAATTACGGAAAATGTTTTAGAGTTTGAACACTTGTGTGCGTGTGTGCGTGTGCGTGTGTGTGCAGATGTGAATGAGTGTGAGCGAGATCCCTGTCCTCTCGGCTCCCGCTGTGAAAACACCAGAGGATCCTTCAGCTGTGAGTGTCCGCTGGGCTTCAACCTGGAGGACGGCCGCACCTGCTCCAGGGGTAACCTCCACTGATGTGTTTTTACAGGATTCATGAAACTCTTGCTGTGTTCACAATGACGTTTTGTTTTTCTTTTCTTACTTTCAACAGCCAAAACATTTTTAGGAATTTTCAGCGTTAACAAACAGATACATGACCCTGTTGTCTTCAAAAGCGCTCAAATGCACGAGATCCAGAGAGAGATAATACACCTCGTAAGATCATAGTTTTGTAGATTAAAAATGAAGGCATGGTCAAAGTCTGAAAACTGTTTCTCTTTCTTCAGCTGAATGCCTCGTTGTCGGTGCTTCGAGGCTACAGTCGCTCCACGCTCAGGAAAAGGTGATTTAACCGTTATTCCCTCTCTGTGTGAAGGAGAGGTTCCGTAGGTCTGTCCTTTCTGCTGCTGTCAGACTGTACAATGAGAACTGCTGAGCCTGTAAATGACATTCATCTGTAAATAAGTAAATACTAAAATCATGTGCAACGTGCAATACTGTCCTATATGTACAGTATATAACTCCTGCTCTATATGTACAGTATATAACTCCTGCTCTATATGTACAGTATATAACTCTGTCCTATATGTACAGTATATAACTCCTGCTCTATATGTACAGTATATAACTCCTGCTCTATATGTACAGTATATAACTCTGTCCTATATGTACAGTATATAACTCCTGTCCTATATGTACAGTATATAACTCCTGTCCTATATGTACAGTATATAACTCCTGTCCTATATGTACAGTATATAACTCCTGTCCTATATGTACAGTATATAACTCTTGTCCTATATGTACAGTATATAACTCCTGTCCTATATGTACAGTATATAACTCCTGCTCTATATGTACAGTATATAACTCCTGTCCTATATGTACAGTATATAACTCTGCTCTATATGTACAGTATATAACTCCTGCTCTATATGTACAGTATATAACTCTGCTCTATATGTACACTATATAACTCCTGTCCTATATGTACAGTATATAACTCCTGCTCTATATGTACAGTATATAACTCCTGCTCTATATGTACAGTATATAACTCCTGTCCTATATGTACAGTATATAACTCCTGCTCTATATGTACAGTATATAACTCCTGCTCTATATGTACAGTATATAACTCCTGCTCTATATGTACAGTATATAACTCCTGCTCTATATGTACAGTATATAACTCCTGTCCTATATGTACAGTATATAACTCCTGCTCTATATGTACAGTATATAACTCCTGTCCTATATGTACAGTATATAACTCTGCTCTATATGTACAGTATATAACTCCTGCTCTATATGTACAGTATATAACTCTGCTCTATATGTACACTATATAACTCCTGTCCTATATGTACAGTATATAACTCCTGCTCTATATGTACAGTATATAACTCCTGCTCTATATGTACAGTATATAACTCCTGTCCTATATGTACAGTATATAACTCCTGCTCTATATGTACAGTATATAACTCCTGCTCTATATGTACAGTATATAACTCCTGCTCTATATGTACAGTATATAACTCCTGCTCTATATGTACAGTATATAACTCTGTCCTATATGTACAGTATATAACTCCTGTCCTATATGTACAGTATATAACTCCTGTCCTATATGTACAGTATATAACTCCTGTCCTATATGTACAGTATATAACTCCTGTCCTATATGTACAGTATATAACTCCTGTCCTATATGTACAGTATATAACTCCTGTCCTATATGTACAGTATATAACTCCTGTCCTATATGTACAGTATATAACTCCTGTCCTATATGTACAGTATATAACTCCTGTCCTATATGTACAGTATATAACTCCTGTCCTATATGTACAGTATATAACACCTGTCCTATATGTACAGTATATAACTCCTGTCCTATATGTACAGTATATAACTCCTGTCTATATGTACAGTATATAACTCCTGTCCTATATGTACAGTATATAACTCTTGTCCTATATGTACAGTATATAACTCTTGTCCTATATGTACAGTATATAACTCCTGCTCTATATGTACAGTATATAACTCTGCTCTATATGTACAGTATATAACTCTGCTCTATATGTACAGTATATAACTCCTGTCCTATATGTACAGTATATAACTCCTGCTCTATATGTACAGTATATAACTCCTGTCCTATATGTACAGTATATAACTCTGCTCTATATGTACAGTATATAACTCCTGCTCTATATGTACAGTATATAACTCTGCTCTATATGTACACTATATAACTCCTGTCCTATATGTACAGTATATAACTCCTGCTCTATATGTACAGTATATAACTCTGCTCTATATGTACAGTATATAACTCCTGTCCTATATGTACAGTATATAACTCCTGCTCTATATGTACAGTATATAACTCCTGTCCTATATGTACAGTATATAACTCTGCTCTATATGTACAGTATATAACTCCTGCACTACATATATATTTTTTTTTTGAAAGACTGGAATTGAAGCATTTACAGAATTTACAGCTAGTTAAGAAACATAGCTACTACTTATTTTGTATATTTTTGTGTGCTCCCTGTGTGCTCTGACTACTGTCCTGTGTGTGCGCTGCAACACTGAAATTTCCCCACTGTGGGATGAATAAAGGACCTCTTATCTTATCTCATTCTCTCACCTTTGTTCATTGTTTTGTTTTGACCTAAATCTTCTTCTGGACAGGGAGGAGGGCAGAACTGGTATCTTAGCAGTGAACATGTTTTCCATCTCTGCTGATGTGACGAGTTCTGAAGTTTACAACAGCATCCACGCGACTCTGACCAACTGCAGCTTTTTTCTTTCCCACTGTCGGATGGTCCTTCAGCATCAGATCTCCTATCAGGGTAACCGCTCACCTCTGTCGTTCCGAGTGTCACCACCAGAGGGGGCTGCTCTTAGACGGTTGCATTCACATTCAGCTGTTTATTAATGTTACTGGTTATTACAGAGGTTGTTTCGTCCGTGTATTTTCCGTTCAATGGTTTTTTTCAAATTAAAATCTGAAGTGAAATATCTATAAATGGCTTGAATTTACATTTTTATGAGAAAAAGGAAAAATTAAAAAAATTTGTCTTTATATTTGTTTTTTTTGTTGCGATGAAATGAAAATTCAAGCCATTTTTAGATATTTCATTTTTGATTTTAATTTGAAAAAACCATTGAACGAAAAATACACGGACCTAGTTTCCTGGTTTATGATCAATATATGAATTTAAGAAACATGAAGAGATTTTTATTTTTTTTCATACTCCATGTTTAAAGTTTCAACTGGAAGTAATTGTAAAATGTTGTGTAAAAAAATACTGTCTACAATGTGGTCAAAACTAGCACCACAACATTCTGCCTTCATCTTAAATATATTATATTTTTCCTACATGTGAGTCACTATTTCGGCTGAGAGCTGATTGGCTGAGGGAGGCTGGTCCTTTTTTTTCACTTTTCTGTCTTTAAAAGCAGACCTGTAGTTCTATTTTATATGGCTTGAAATTGAAGTACCCTGGCTTTAAATAGCCACGTCATTATTATTCTATTAGACCAACTTTTTTATTCTTTTCATTCAAATTGGACTTTGAATTTGTATTTAAAGAGGTTTTTAACGGTGGGACATGCTGCCTTCTTACTCCTACAGAGATGTTATTGTTTCAACCCTTTAATGGTTTCCTTCACCATTTGGTAGATCACCTTTTTTGCACATCTAATTGAAGTTTGGAACTGAAATATACCTTTCTGGGGATTCTTACATGGTTTTAGGCACTTTTACCATCAAACTACATCTCAAGCATTTGGTAAAGTCCTATTATTAAAAAAATAAAATAGGGGTTCAAAATAATAGGTCTAAAATAATAAAAAATACATTTTCTAGAGAGTGAAGTCACGTGTATCAATAGTAGTATAAATATAATGGACGAATCACTGGTACATGGTTTGAATGTGGGTTGGATGTGCGGTTCATTATGACGCATGTGTTATTTATCCACGTGTGTTTTGTTTTGTTGTTTCAGTGGAGAGTTTGTGCGAGGCTCAGAAGACTCAGTGTGACACCGAGCGCTCCGTGTGCACCGACCACAGCGGCACGGCCTCCTGTCAGTGTCTGCCGGGATATTACAAGCACAATCCTGAAGACCTGTCCTGTTTAGGTACACTTTAAATTTAGTGTTATTACTTTACTTTTTTGAGCCACGCAGTGAAAGATTCAACCAGTTTTTTTTTTTAATATTGTGGGAAAAACGTCCCTAAACCCTAAAAGTATCAAGTTATCATGTGTTTTCAAATAGTAATGGAATTGACCAGATGTCTATAGTCTACAAAAATGAATACAACATATTCTGGAGCGGACCAATAAAAATAAACCAATGGGATTCGTTCATCTCCAACGAACCAATGGGATGTGTTTACCGCCTTCACCCTCTTCCTGTTTCTCACGAGTGCACCGGGGTTATCTGATTTTCTAAAACCTAATAGGGCTGAACCAAAAATGACAATTTCACGTTTGCTCCACTTTCCCTGTTGTGACAAAGAAAAGAAAAAGCTGGATGTTTGGTTTGGTGGGGAGGGGTTTCCAGTTGGTGCTACGGCTGAGCTAACAACATCGCTTACTGCACCTTTAAGTCATTTGACTGCCAGCCATTTTTGATGACTTCACTACTTTTCAAGACTCGCAGAACATTGTGTGATAGGACTTTGAGAAGTATGAGACCAGATTCTGAAAGACTACACTGTCTACTTTCAGCAGCAAAAATAAATTTGTTTCAAGCTTGTTTCTTTCGTCGAGAGTTTGCGCCGAAGAATGCGATAGTAAAGTATTCTGGTCTGGTTCTATCAAGAAATTGAAGCTGGTGCAAGAGGAATGTTTAGCAAATGTAATCTCTGGCAAAGATTGCGGCGCTACTCCCCACGGGCTTCGTTAGCGGCAAAGGAGATGGCTAAAAATAGGCTAAATGCTAACGACTCACTTGGGAGCATTACTTACGTGACGGTAAACTCATATCCAATCGTTTCAATCTGCAAAAGAAGTTAACCCCTGCCACCTGTTAACGGAGTCTCATTCCAATCATAGTAGTAATCAGAAAAATCACAATAAAATTGTTTGCTAGTATCCTGCAGGGCAACAAAACTGAATTCATTTGGACATTACTTGTAATATTTACTAATAATTGAGTAAACGGCTCTATTTAAAAGTATTTATAGATTCACCGAAAATGACAATGCTTTTCTAATCCCTTTCTTGTTTGTTTTTGCCAGAATGTGGAGATGGATACAAACTGGAAAACGGCACATGCCAACCGTGTGTATTTAAAACGTTTTTTATTTTTTTTATTCAGTGTTTGCATAATTTATCTTCATGTATTACCTCTATTCTTTTATTTTTGCAGATGCATGTTTGGCTTTGGTGGATTTAATTGTGGAAATTGTAAGTTCACATTTTTTTTGTTCATATTATGCGTGCCATAGTGTCATATTATTAATAATCTGTTTGTATTCCCAGTTTATAAACTGATAGCAGTCGTGGTGTCACCAGCAGGGGGCGGCATTCTCCTCATTCTCATCATCGTTCTCATAGTTACATGTTTCAAGTAAGAAAACGCCAGATATTGTACACATATCAATCTATGTTTAATTCCCCTTATTATCATAGTTTTCTAGAACGAAATTAACTTATTATGTAAAATATATGTCCAGAATAGCTAATTGAGCTGCTACATTATGATAAGAATTATGAACAAAATTCTATTGAGAAAATATGTTAATTTGAACTGTACTATATGGGAATGTGTTTACTGTATACAACCATTGAGATTTGAATACAGTTCATCAGACATGAAACTTAATCTTCATTATCTAGAGTAATCTGGGGTTAATTGTTGTGTTTTTATATCTCCAGGAGAGATAATAATGACATAAACAAAATAATCTTCAAGAGTGGAGACCTGCAGATGTCTCCTTATGCAGACTTCCCCAAAGCAAACCGTATATCCATGGAGTGGGGACGAGAGACGATAGAAATGCAAGAAAATGGCAGCACGAAGAATCTGCTGCAAATGACTGACATTTACTATTCGGTAAGATAGTTGTTTATTATTTCAGGCTTCATTATTGTGGCTGAGTTTGTAATTATCATGTTTCTGACCAATATTGTGTTTGTAATGTGATTTTCTTTATCCTATGTTTAAAAATTAACAATGAAAATAACAAATAAGTACAAACTAACAAACTCAGCGGCACGGTGGCTGAGTGGATAGCACTCTCGCCTCTCAGCAAGAATGTCCTGGGTTCGAATCCCGGTTGGACCAGGGCCTTTCTGAGTGGAGTTTGCATGTTCTCCCTGTGTCTGCGTAGGTTTCCTCCGGGTGCTCCGGTTTCCCCTACCACTAAAAATATGTACAATAGGTCTGGCATGTGCCTCCTGTACTGGCACACCCACTCCCAAAATTAACAATTGTAAACCGCTTTGAGACTCCGACGTGCAGTGAAAAGGTGGTATATAAATAAAGATTACTAAATGACTTACTAATAAATAAAGTGTTTACCTAATACACAATTCCTACACATTTCAGCAAATATCTCACATACACAACAACATTTACAACATATAGAACAATTATAAGTTTGACAAAGCGTTTAAGCAATACACAATTCCCACATATGTCAAACTTTTTCAAACCTATAGAACAACAATCTCTTCACTGGAAATAAGTGAAAATATATATTAACGCTTTTAAGTCACTTTTATCACATAATTCTTATTGTTATAGTTTATAGAAATTATTTTAAAAAAACTGTCATGTCTTATTTGCAATGATCAAAAAATGCTTCTGCTTGAGATAAAAATAGCTGTTCCATTGACAAATCTTGACAAATTCAAGTAATCGTTTGTGCTTATATCTTCAGCCTTTCTTGTGTCAAAATTACTTGAATAATTGCAGTCTTTGTGATTTGCTGATGGCGACCACAGTAATTAAGATTATTCTCGCAGGCCTAACATTATTTCCCAGTTTAAATGCATCAGTTTTCTGACAATGTACATCTGTTTTCAGCCGGCACTACGCAACGCAGACTTGGAAAGGAACGGCCTCTATCCTTTCACTGGGCTCCCGGGATCTCGTCACTCCTGCATCTATCCCGCCCAGTTCAACCCCTCCTTTATCAGCGACGACTCCCGAAGAAGAGACTACTTTTAACCATGAAACAAAGCTCATTCAAATCCAGGGGCTTGCAAACAAATATATGTAATGTAAATTATTTAAAAGGGCATTTGTTGCGACTTTGCACTGTGTTTTTGCATTTGAGGCTGCAGACTAATGGCTTGGATTTGTTTGAAATTGCCCGAGCATGACAAAAAAATGTGTGAAGACATTTGAAAGCCAAACGAGGGTTGTCATGACACGGCAAAAAGTGCAAAAAATAATGTTGTTTTCATGCTTTTGGATATCATTTTGCAGGTAAACCGTTCCAAACTTAAGCACAAATAAATATGCAATAGATAATGATTGAAACACCTGAAAAATCCCCTTGAGGTTAGTCACGTTGTGTTTTTTATGGACTGTATAATCTATTGCATTTGCTTCATCCCTGCAGAACTGAATACGCCTGTGTCATAGCTCTGCAGCTTGTTGTTTTAAGCATGTGGACCTGCTGCTGCGAGAGGTTCTGGAGGAAGTTTGACTCTTTTACTGTTTGCTTACAATCAGACTTAGTGTATATTTGTGGATTAAGTACACGCTTTCTACTGACGTTTTAGTCAGATGTGATAATTTAATAATAAAGGAAAATTAAATGTGTGTTTTAATTGATATACTGGTTCAACTCTGACAACTTTTGACTTAGTATTTCCTACTGTGATATGTGCTGCTGAATCAGAATCATACATTTTTTGCCATGTGACAAAATGAGGCACAACTAGGACATTTCTTTGTAGAGAATAGAATAAGGCACTGGCAGGTATAAATAAACTTCATACATTTCTTATAATTATGATGCAGTTTAGTAATTTTAACAAATTATATGAAAGTACATTTCTATGACATTCAAGTAGTGTTGGAAGTATCTATTACTTTTATAACCCCTTCCAAGTAACTCCGTGTTACCCATCACACTGAAATTAAGCGGAAATTGGTAAAATAACGAGTGATAATAAAATTCACAAAGTAAGTGCAAATTTGCTTTGCTTTTATTTGCAATCATTTGAAAAAACAAAGAATTATTGTTAATAACTTCTGAGACGGCTGTGAATACTCAAAGAATCTGACTAAAATGAGAACATGTACAGTCCAATAGTTAACTGAATGTAGAGGCATAACCAAAGGCAATAAAACATGGGCCGTCACTGTAAAACCTCTTATGTTCAGAATCGACACCGTAACTGGTCATTTTAAGAAGAAAGTCCTAATATTTTAGTGAAAGAATAAAAATCTAACAATGAAGTACGTAGATCAGGAAAAGTAAAACCTCTGCTGTACTTTAACCATCTGTGAGTGATGCTGAGGTTTGTCACAGCCCATTACACCAGTCTCACTTTTCTCTATAAAAGGTTTCCCAGTTCAGAGCGAGGAGCAGGTGTAGACACTGATATAAAACTGCATCTTGTTTAAAATGACACCTTTTATTACTCTGGATTTATTGGCTTTTAGAATAATCAACGTTTTTCTTCTTGGCTTTAACATCACCATAAATACTTTCTATATGTATTGTTTGATTTCTCCTATTGAAACTGGGCAGAGAAAGCAGCCTTTGACGCTGCTTCTTGGATCTCTCATTTTCTATAATCTTTGTTTTTGTGTTTCTTTTTCCACAACTGGAATACTTTCACTGGTCGGTAACTTCCCTTTTGCAGAAGAGTTATCTCAAACGTTCCTTGATTCCACCGTGGACCACAGCATAACCAGCTATGTGTCGCTAAATTTCTTCTACTACATCCAGATTGTGCCCGTCCCATGCTCCTTTTTCCACTGGGTAAAACGAAACATTAAGAGCGTTTTTTATGTGGTGGTCGGTTTTAATGTCATTTTAACAACTTTAGTCCACCATTGTTTTCTTTTTGCAGGATGGTCATACTATATAAAGTTTGATAACAAAACAGACAGCCAAGGTTTGGTCATTTCCATGATCATAATCCATTATTGTCTGTTGTTATGTATGACAGTGATGAGCAGTTGGTCCACAGTGCGTTACCTTCACAGACACATTCAAAACATGGGGAAAATGCACATTTCTGCGGCAAGACTTCGGAGTCAGATGAGAGTCACCATCACCGGCGTCTTCCAAGGATTTTTCTTCTTTCTTTATGCCAGTTACTTAATCATTGAGCTTTTTACAACCAACTATCATCTTCTTTATCTTGACCCAGACATGACATACACTTTTACCAACCTCTTCATATCTGGGACCACAGTCACTCTTGGCATCGGGCAAAATGTGTTCCGACTAAAGATCATAAACATTTACAAAGCACTCAAGTCTCTGTAAAGCATGTGTAATGTTTTGGTGTTAAAATGCTTTATAAAAACTTGTTTGCAGAGAATACTTTAAATGTGAGTTGTATATTTTACAGGTTTCGTTCATGTCCCCAAACGTGTTATTTCTCTTGACTATTTTCACTTACTACAAGCATTTACTGGGGAGCATTGTCTGAATATATTTGTAGTAAAGGATAAATACTTCCTTCTTACTCAATGTGGTCTCTATCATTGACAGAGTTCAGATTTTTACAATGACAGTAGATAGAAGTATTTGCATTGTCTAAAACCATTGTTTATATGGTGATTGCTGTGGAATGCTAACAACTACATTCGGTCTTGTGTGTGTTGTTTTTACCATTTTTGATGTTTTTAGGGAACTGCAACATATCCAAAACCCTCCACTGGCTCCCCGTCCCCTACAGCACATAATAAGGTCATGGCCCTCTCATATCTCACCGACCTCCTCCATCAGCACCTGTCCCACCCACCGCTTCAGAACCATCAGGAGTAAAAAGCAAACCTCAGGGGACCGAGCCTTCTCTGCTGCTTCCCACACTCTCTAGAACTCTCTCCCACAAAAAAAATCAAGAACTTCAGAATTTCAACTCGCTGCTCAAAACCCACCTGTTCAAAACTGCCCACATTTGACCAGTCATTTTGGGTGTCCAAAAAGCTTGATATAAGTATGATGTATTATTATGATTTTCACTATTAAAACATAAAATAAAGAGTACTTACTTACTTACTTACTTACATAACTGTGAACGCAATACAAAATGTTTTTGTAATGATTGTTTTGGATCTATATATGTCTTATATGACTTTTTGAAATTTGCTCACATATGGGAAGAATATAAGAATCATTCATAAAAGGACATTTGCAGCTACTTTCAACACTATTTGCATTTATGGTTTCACACAAATGTTTTCAATTTGTTTGTAATCATCACCAATTCATGGAGCAGAGAGGCGATACTTAATAATCATTTGAAAGTCAAATAAATGTGGTGTCACAGGTTGAAGAGTCTTTGGAAAGATGTGGTCTATACACTTTTTCTATTTTAACAATATATTATTTGATTAACTCTCAGTGTTTGACCCAGGTCTCTTGTTCAGAAAACAGAATAACCATCATATGAAAAAAATGTAATAATGCCACTTTATGGCGATTATACGCAGGCCTATATCAGCACTTTGTAAACATTGTTTTTGAAAAATGCTATACAAATAAAGATTTATTATCATTATTATGTGCTTATACAGTGATTAAAACCATGTAGATAGGGGATTCTTCAACTTTGAACGAATAATTGTCCTGGATTGATATAAAGAAAAAAAAAAGGCATTTCAGATTTTTTTCATTTTCCAAATTCAATACACCACAAGATGAGCTGAGATAAATGTTCATATATTTTTTCCTTGTCCCTGAGTCCAGTTTTTGTAAACGGGATATTTACAGACAGGACAGCACAGGGGTCACCAACCTTTTTGAAACCAAGAGCTACTTCTTGGGTACTGATTAATGCGAAGGGCTACCAGTTTGTTACACACTTAAATAAATTGCCAGATATGGCCAATTTGCTCAATTTACCTTTAATTCTATGTTTTTACTAATAATTAATGATATTTATTTTGTGGAAAAACTTTTATATTTTCTCTAAGTGCCCATTTTTCAAATTTAACAAATGATCACTTCTAAGACAGTCCCATTTAATCGCAATTAATCACATTTTAATCGCATATAAATATTTGACCTGAGAACAGTGAGAAGTAATTTTTTTCACATGGATTTTTAGTTTACCATTGAATAATGACTGAATACATGAGGCTTAAGCAACACATGTTAATATGGAGTTTAAGGGATAACTTCTAAACATCAAATAACGTTTCTGTCATTGCCTCCACCTCCTCCTCCTCCTCCTCCTCCTCACTCTGACGACAACATATGCTCCTCCTCCTCCTCCTCCTCACTCTGACGACAACATATGCTCCTCCTCCTCCTCCACACTCTGACGACAACATATGCTCCTCCTCCTCCTCCTCACACTGACGACAACATATGCTCCTCCTCCTCCTCCTCACACTGACGACAACATATGCTCCTCCTCCTCCTCCTCACACTGACGACAACATATGCTCCTCCTCCTCCTCCTCCTCACTCTGACGACAACATATGCTCCTCCTCCTCCTCCTCACACTGACGACAACATATGCTCCTCCTCCTCCTCCTCCTCACTCTGACGACAACATATGCTCCTCCTACTCCTCCTCACACTGACGACAACATATGCTCCTCCTCCTCACACTGACGACAACATATGCTCCTCCTCCTCCTCCACACTCTGACAACAACATATGCTCCTCCTCCTCCTCCTCCTCACTCTGACGACAACATATGCTCCTCCTACTCCTCCTCACACTGACGACAACATATGCTCCTCCTCCTCACACTGACGACAACATATGCTCCTCCTCCTCCTCCACACTCTGACGACAACATATGCTCCTCCTCCTCCTCCTCACACTGACGACAACATATGCTCCTCCTCCTCCTCCTCCTCACTCTGACGACAACATATGCTCCTCCTCCTCCTCCTCCTCACTCTGACGACAACATATGCTCCTCCTCCTCCTCCTCACACTGACGACAACATATGCTCCTCCTCCTCCTCCTCCTCACACTGACGACAACATATGCTCCTCCTCCTCCTCCACACTCTGAC